AGTAAATTAATGTCTTCAAACACCAGAAATTCCTATACTTTAATTGCACGACTGTGTTAGGAACCCAGAAGTTCTGGCTGAATCTTTTGCTTATCACCCAGTTTGGCCATCACATCGCCTGTAACTATTAAGCCCCAAGGAAAATCTTTAGCATTGGACAGATTCTTCTGCTGTTTAATGTGGGATCAGACAGAGCTGCTCTCCAAGATGGTGCTGCAGCTTTGAGTAACAAAAGATGACACATTCCACCTGAGGTGAAACCTTGGGTGACCCCATGGAGTGTTTAAATCGCAGTTTGAGTTCTACTGCATAGAATCATAGAATAGTTAGGGTTGGAAAGGACCTTAAGATCATCCAGTTCCAACCCCCTGCCATGGGCAGGGACACCTCACACTAAACCATGTCACCCAAGGCTCTGCCCAACCTGACCTTTAACACTGCCAGGGATGGACCATTCACAGCCTCCCTGGGCAACCCATTCCAGTGCCTCACCACCCTAACAGGAAAGAATTTCCTTCTTATATCCAACCTAAACTTCCCCTGCTTAAGTTTTAATCCATTATCCCTTGTCCTGTCCCTACAGTCCCTAATGAAGAGTCTCTCCCCAGCATCCCTATAGGCCCCCTTCAGATACTGGAAGGCTGCTCTGAGGTCTCCACGCAGCCTTCTCTTCTCCAGGCTGAACAGCCCCAACTTCCTCAGCCTGTCTTCATACGGGAGGCATGGAAGCCTTTTAGATGCATATATACAGATATCTATATGGCAAAGTATTAAAACACCAGGAATTTTCTGCAGACAGATGGAGTGCTGCAAGGTTTCGCAAACCAGTTTAAAGAGCTGGAGATACTTATTAAAAGATGTTGCAGCATTTACTGTAACGCAATAGGATTTCAGTGGTAAGAGGTGCATTTTAATAACACCAGCCACAGCTGAAAGCAGTCTTTGTGGAGCTTGTCATTAATGTGGCTGAGCAGCCTCTTGAAGTTTATGTTATTTTAATGATTTCCAGTGAAAGGAAAATGCAGCAGGAGAAAGTTTTGGAAGGCTGATTGAAATCTGGTTTTATCCATCTGTCTCCAGGATCCTGGTTTCTAACAAAACATCCTTATTTGTTCATGAAAGGTGTAGGACTGCCGTAACCTTTTGTTACATTTCTCATGTTTATGGATAATTTTCTTCTCTTTTCTGGTTTTGTTTTGAATTGATTTAAGATGTGTTTTTTCTTTAATAGATTTGTCGAGACAGCAGGGCCAAATAGGGAAGGTTTTTAACCAAGTGAGCAGATAGTCCCCTGGCCAACTCTTGCCTCAATTTGACATAGTTAATCTGGTTTATACTGAATTCTAAAGCTGTTTGTGCTGCCAACAGCATCCTTGCCACCTTCTCTGTATTTCTCTGCTCACAGTTTACATCTCCTTCAGGAATGTGTCAGCCCTCTAACAGCAGAAGTGTTCCATCAGGAAAACTGGCTTTCCTGGCCTGGTTTCAAGGCAGGTCTTCAGGCAGCTCAGGTCTTTGAGCAGAAGCTCCTGCTAGACTTTATTGGAAGGGAGAAAGCAAGCTGACATCTAGACATTGTGAGTAAAGGAGGTGAAAGGATGCTCCTTTGTCAGAAAACATAAAAGGAGACTTAAATCATTGTGCTACAAAGAGAACTTTGATGAGCGACATGGGCACTGATGATCCCATGGGTGTGTTCCTTAACATGATAGAGCTTCAATAGCTCAGGTGTTCAAAAAAGGACTATAATCAATAGTAAATAGATCTAATTCTTCTGAATGTCTCTCAGTTTGCTCATACTCAATTTGTTCATAATACGGCCCCAGTCTAGCAAAGAGCTTATGCCAAAAACTCATCTGTCCACTTGTGAGCCAGCATATCGAATGCAGCTCCAAACAGCAGCAGACTTTCAGTCTCTTTGCTCAAAATGGAATTATCAAAATCAAAATAATCCGATTTACATAGAAGAAGCTAAATATAGTCTTCTTGCTTGGGTTTTTTCCATGTCCTTTTCCTATCATCTCCACAGGAAAACTTGCTGACATTTTAAAAAGGGCTTTAATTCATAGAGCTTTAATGGTCTTCAAGGTTTTGATAAAGGATATTTTGCTCATCCTCTTAATAGTGTTTGCAGCTAAGTGTGGTAATAAGGGAGCAGAGCTGTTCATGAGGAATGTGAAGAGCTGACAGTGTGCTTTGGTATCTAAATTTGAGTACTTCAGATCTGAGGACCAAGTAATATGACCTAGATCATCAGCTAAGGGCTAAGTTGTCACTGACAAATGGAAATGCATCCGTCACCCTTAAAGCGCAGATACACCCATGGCAGGGGTCAAAAAGGATGTGAATCCTGTTAGCATCAAAATTACTCTCTTTCACTGAGCTTGTAATAAAAGTATCTATTTTAAGTCTGTGGAGCACATGGCAGATTACGTTGAGGTAGCTCAGGATACGTTTATGTCTTTTATTAATGAGTGCTGGGTCACAGCCAGAGAATGCATTGCTGTAAGGGACTGTGTGCTTCAAACTTTGTTAGGTAAGTCTTAGAGAAGAGAAGAATTCAGTATTTTACTCATCCAAACCCAGCTACCCAAAGAGAATGATCTAATTTCTTGCTTTTAAAACATGGAGACAAATCCTGTGATTTGGAAAAGCAAATTCATACTCACATTGCCTGATTGGCCACTTACTCTGTACTTCTAACAGCCTTCCTGAGCCAGTCCCAGGTAACTTTTCTTTTGATGAATTCCCTTTGGAAGCGGCATCCCATTTCAGATATGTTCCTTTTCTGTTCTGTGATGCATGGCTAATGCGTATCTTAGACTAACTAAAGTGCGATCCGTCATAGAGACATTCTGTAGCTGACTATAAATACAAAAGCAGAAGGTTTCTCTTCTTTCTTCTTTTGTTGATATTGAATGCAGTTCATCACTGAGTGAGCAAGAGGTTCAGCTAGGGAAAGGAAGAAAGGAATGACAATTATATGGAAGAATGAAACCAGATAGACAATCCTGTTCCGTTTGAGTTCAGAAAGAATGATGCTCTTCCCAGACAGGCCCTTGAGCAGAAGCATTTATCAGTCTGATTTTTGGGTTTGAAACGGTAGACAGTAAAAATCAGATGAGTTATCATCTCCCAGAGAAATGAAACAAAGCTTTGTAACATTCAGCCTATAAATAGAAGAGAAAGTAACCCATCTAGTAATACACATCACTGACTTAGCATCTTCAGGGCATTTCTCTAGCTTTTCTCCTAGGTGTAAGTTATACTTTGTCTTTCTCATTCAAATCCTCATCTGGGGAGCACAGCTACTATTTTTACATCTCTCCTCTGGTTTTCTCTTATGTGAAAGCCTGTCATTAACTTGTTTACCAGTGAAATTGTCTTTGTCTCAGCACACAATCATATTCGTTCTTTACAGAGCTCCCAAATAGGATTATTCTGTTTTCCTGCAGTGCTTGCCATCCTACCCAGTATTTAATGAGGCTCAGCATCATACAATAGACAGCCTTGTACTTTCTTTCCAGTTAATACATCATATTTCAAAATGCTTTCCTAAACCTTGTCATGTATTTGTTGAACATACTGATAATGCCGTTGCCTACAAGCAGATATGATACCAATCAGGAGATGCCCTTTAGACTGATGTCTTCTTCATACAGGATTTCCTGCAGGATCTATGAAAAAAGAGCTCTTTTTATCATCTTATGCTTATCATTATGTTATAACAAACTGAATTTGAAACAGTCAGTGGAGATTTAGATTGTTATTGAAAAGTTATTAAATATTAAGAAGTATCATAAACACTAAACATATGCAGACAGTGGGGAAGGAGGTTGAAGTGAGAGTGAAATGTGAACTGCAGGATATATTTGTGTCAGTTTGGAAACCATTTGATCTCTACACAGAATTCATCATCCCACAGTGGTGCTATTTGCTGGCCATTTCTCAGTATTTGTAGCAGAATGACAAATCTTGCCTTTCAGGAAACCTGAGCTTTCAAACTAAAGGATTGAAGTCAGTCATGCAGGGCTCCTTTTCATCTGTCTTTTGCCTTTATAAGCTTCATGTTGAGGCCAAGCACCAAGCAGTCTTCTTGATCTGAGAAACACCGAGTGCATTTCTTGGAAGTGCTGCAGCCTAATAGCAACCAGTAGAGGCACAAAATAACCTGAAATTTGCCTCGCATGCTACCAATGAAGCTGAGGTTCAGGCTATTATTAGCTGATAAAAATCATTGAACATATCTTTCCTTCACAGAAATGCTATGTAGTCATTGCTATATTAAGGATCGGAACAGGCTGCCCAGGGAAGTGGTTGAGTCACCATCCCTGGAGGTATTTAAAAGACGTGTAAACGTGGCACTTGGTGACATGGTCTGGTGGTGGACTTGGCAGTGCTGGGGGAGTGGTTGGACTCAATGATCTTAGAAGTCTTTTCCAGCCTGAACGATTCTGTCATTCTATATTGAATATAGACCTGAAAAAAAAAAGCTAAAGATTAAATATAAATGGAATATCTGTATTGAAGTAATACATGACTGTTTGAACATGAAGATGAAAGGGGAGGGCATCACCAGAATTCTGTTATTCATTTCCTAGTGTTAATTCCAACCAGTCTTCTTAATTCCTCAGGAAAACCCGAGTTCTCATGTTAAGGTTTATCTAAAATCCATTAAAACCATAGAGAATCTCTCTGCCAAGGCCAGTAGCCTTCGGACAGATTGTGTTATTTTGACAAGCAAAACAGTTTATGTGTGCTTAAATTCTGAGGCAAAAATAACTGCAAATAGGAATGTGCAGTCATCAGCTGGACAGCTTTTAGCCTGTACTGTTGCAATACAGAGCTCAAAGGCTTTGAAGGATTTACAGTACTGATTTTTCTCTTTATTCTGTGTTAATAACTTTAAATAGTTGAATGCAAATTACTTGCAAAAATGATCACCTCTTTCAGTATAAGTATTTGCAAAAGATTGCATTTTGCATTGTGTTTACCTGCAGGATCCCAAACTGCGCGAGCTGTTGGATGCTGGGAATGCAGGAGGTCGCCTGGAGAATCGAATGATAACTGTTGTCTATGGCCCAGACCTGGTCAATATCTCGTACTTGAACTTGGTGGCATTCCAGGAGGATATAGCAAAGGTAATATGGCATTCATCTGTGTCATATAAAATTAATGTTTATGAAGGGGAGACCTCATAGCAGCCTTCCAGTGTCTGAAGGGGGGCTATAGGGATGCTGGGGTTGGACTCTTCATTACGGAGTGTAGTGACAGGACAAGGGTAATGGGTTAAAACTTAAACAGGGGAAGTTTAGATTGGATATAAGGAAGAAATTCTTTCCTGTTAGGGTGGTCAGGTACTGGAATGGGTTGCCCAGGGAGGCTGTGAATGCTCCATCCCTGGCAGTGTTCAAGGCCAGGTTGGACAGAACCGTGGGTGGCATGGTTTAGTGTGAGGTGTCCCTGCCCGTGGCAGGGGGGTTGGAACTGGATGATCTTAAGGTCCTTTCCAACCCTAACTATTCTATGATTCTGTAAGTGTTAGTTTGAAATATGGATAAATGAGATAACAGGAGATTGCTATGAAATGAACCTCACTTCTGTTACAGAGCTGTGCTGCTCAGCACCCAAGAGGAAACAGGCAGTCATTCTTTTTCAAGGAGTTTATTTAGCAAAGTTTGTGCCCCTCGTATTTGTGCTCATCTTCAGAACTTTGCTGTAAATCTCAGACACACGCTGGGAAAATAATGGTACACATGAATTTTTACTCAGCTGTGAGATGTATGCTGTGACTTTCCAAACACATCTCAGGATTTTTCAGTAGTTACCATCCTTTTATGCTTGTTCTTAGTGTGTGTGAATTATGGATCAACTGTGAGAGCCAAGTTTGGAACCAGCTGACTTTTTAAGGTTGGCCTATATCAAAGCAGTGGGAATCTACAGTCTACATTGTACACTCAAGTAGTCAGCAATCACACACCTTAACACACATATAAATATTCCTGTTCATATTCAAAGGTCAGTTTTGAGCATTGAATTTTGCCTACTGATAGCCCTTGATAAGAATTGCCCAATGTCATTACCTTAGCAAAGTAATTTTTCCATGCAGGTGTACAGTCCTTTCCTTTCTGTCCAACATACCACACAGTTGTTTGTGCCAAGCAAGTTCCATTTGATGTTAGTACATCTTTTGGTTTTGATTTGTTTGGGTTTTTTTTCCCTCTTCTTCCAATTTCTATGCAACTCAGTTGTGGTTATTGAAGTGGGAGCGCTTTGCTTTATGTCTTCCAATTGACATTCAAAAGCTACCCCTCTTTCCATTTCCGTTCATACAGGTAGACTCTGGTGACAGCCTCCAGATAACCACCCACAGAACACACTTCAACATGGTTTGCATCCTCAAGTGCACTAGATTGCACTAAAATGATAGTTTCTCTGTATGCTGCCGTTATTTAACAGTAGTACTAAGCTATTTTGTCACCTCACAGGCAACAAGGGTGGTCAGACCAGGTGAAAAATGGTCATAGGATGAAAGTCTTGAGCAAGGAAGAGATATTTTTGCTTGCCAGGTTTCTGTCTTCGCTAATCTTCATTAGCCAACTGGTCAGCTTGGCAAAAACACAAATTCCACCATCTCACTGCTATGAAAGAACAGAAACAAACTGCGTTTGTGGTGGTTTGTGGACTGCTGAGTGGGAAGTGCTGTCTTCAGACTTGAAAACACACAGCTATACTCCACAGGGTGGTTAAGAAATCTTAACACTGCAAAAGCGATCGAACCGACACTTCAGGGAGGAAAAAACCCAGCTATCTAAGCCTATGATGGAAAATGCAAAGTTATGCTAAAGCTTCACCAGCAACAACTGGTTACCCTTACTATGGGCAAATCACCCAAATCAGAAGCCTATGTCCTTTTATGCTTTCCTGTCTAGCCCACGGTCAGTGAGCTATAATCATTTAGCCAAAAGAGTGCAGAAATTGGTATTTTAGGGCTATTTTGTGTTTGATAATGGAACCTTAAAATACAGTAGATAAAATCATGTTTTAGAAAAGCTTGGCTGCTTTAAATCCTGAGTAACTCCTACAATCTGAGTAACTAAGAACCTAAATCTTCCTTGTTATTTGTATATGCGGTAGACCAAAGAAATTACTATTTTGTCAGCCAAGCACTGTGGCCTGAGGATGGGATTTTCAAAGCACTGCGGATTAGCTGTGCTTGCTTTGAGATCACATTAAGTATCCTGATTGTTTCAGTGAAAACTGAGTTTTGATCACTATTGAATGCATCAAAAAATTCTTCCTTTTTTAACGTTTTCCAGCTTTACTTGAGCCAGACCACAGAATCTTGTCCTCATCTCCAGGACCCGTGTAATGACTCAGAGCAGTCGTAATAAATAAGCACATGAGGCACAAATCATCTCTTCAGGGAGCTCGGAGAAGACCTGTAAATACATAATGTTTTCAACATCACACATGCAAATTTTGACCCTTCCTGTTGCTGACGTTCCAGGGAAAAACTCCCCCACCTTTCCTTTTTCAGTGCATGAATATTATTTGGATTAACCCTTCATTTCCGATACCTTATCTTTGAAGTTGTGTAACAAATATCAATCAATCCTTTCTTGGAGCAGAAAGGCAAAGAAAACTCCAGTGGTCCTAGTGAGGCAGCTAAAGTTACTCAATTATGGGGTTTTCCTCCTTTGCAAGAGGCTTCCTATGCTGCTACAAACTGTTCATGACATCCACTGGCCAAGTTGTGGGGAAAGTATGAAAATACAAACGTGGGCTGTTCAACTTGCTTTAAATAAACCAAATACAGAGCTAGAACTGACAATACAGGCACCTTGTATTGTTCTATGTGCATTCCTCCACGCGAAAGTAACTAAAGTGCATTAGTGATGAGCTGAAGGGCACTGTGCAGCTGGTTTACTCAAAGAATGCAGCTTGAAATTCATTAGGTAATGGTCTAAAAGTGGATTGCTGTGTGGAGACCTCATAGCAGCCTTCCAGTATCTGAAGGTCTGAAGGGGGCCTATAGGGATGCTGGGGAGGGACTCTTCATTAGGGACTGTAGTGACAGGACAAGGGGTAACGGGTTAAAACTTAAACAGGGGAAGTTTAGATTGGATATAAGGAGGAAATTCTTTCCTGTTAGGGTGGTGAGGCACTGGAATGGGTTGCCCAGGGAAGTTGTGAATGCTCCATCCCTGGTAGTGTTCAAGACCATTTTGGACGAAGCCTTGGGTGACATGGTTTAGTGTGAGGTGTCCCTTCCCATGGCAGGGGGGTTGGAACTGGATGATCTTAAGGTCGTTTCCAACCCAAACTATTCTATGATCCTATGTCTTGACGATGGAGAGAAGTAGCACTGATACAGTGCTTGCTTATTTTCAGACAGGTGTGCCTGTGCCTGTCCATACACATAGTGCTGCAGCAACCAGGATAAAGGAAGAAGTTTATTGTCAAACCCTATTCTGAGCAGATGCTCTTTTTCTGCCTTTGTTATCAACATGAAGTCATCCAACCTGTGAACATCTGTGTGTGCTCTACAGGATTTTATTCCCTTCCCGAATCCATGAACTTCAAAAGCGAATGTTTCATCTTTCCCTTCTCTTTTCTCTCACTCTGTTTTGTGCCTCTCATGCCAGTTCTGCTCTCATCGCCCTAGTCCATCCTGGCCACACTGGCCCTTATCTAGAGGCCAAGGAAATCTGTTTCTCCTTGGTTTGATGAGCTTTGGATAAGATCCATCAGTAAGAGCTGACAAATTCCTCTATAAATTAAATGATATCATCAAAGGTGATTCAAAACTTGGGCTATGCTTTGCTTTCCAGCATACCTCTTTATTTGTCCAACTTCCCTGGCATATGTAAGGGCTTGATCAGTGTAATAAAACGATAAAGCAAACTGTATAAATTCACATCTATTTGCTGCATTTTTAACTAAAATTCATGAGGATGCCAGAAGTGTGGAATTTGAGCAGCTTGCTTTGTTAACCTCCCACCAAAAACACATGTGCAAGAAGCACTGCCTTCACACGTAGTCACTTCTGATTTGAAGGAAGTGTTTTCAAGAATGTGTGCTGTCTTTTCTCATGAAAAAGGTCTCATTTCTTCTGTTATGTCTTATCATAGATATCCTGATGCATGTAATAGAGGAATTACTTCACTGAGCAACAGATTTCCAAATGAACTGCTGCTTATACGCTACCTGCCAAAGCACAGAACAGTTAAATAATCTGTTAGTAAAGTTCACAGGAACGATATAAATTAGTGTAACAGGACGTAGCCGAGAGGAGATTGAGTTCAGAGAGTTCTTATCATGATGGATGGGACTTGGTTGGAGTTGAATGGCGGAAGGCTGGCTTCTTCTGCTACCAAACCGGATCAGAGCCTTCCAGTCTGCAGTTTGTTGGCACTAGTACGGTCATATTTCAAAATACCCAGATTTACGTTTTCCTATTGTGTTGCTCCTGTACAGGAGTCTGTACAGGAGTCTGCAGCCTCTGAATCACTATAGTGATTCGAAGGCTGTTAGAACCTTTCCACAGCAGGCTGTTTTCTTTCTGCACGTAACAGTTTTCTACCCTGCGGAGCGCTCTCACTGAGAGCTGCCTTCTGGAATTGCTGCTGCTGGTAAAGATGGCTGCAGGGTACGTTGTGCTTGGGGTTAGAGTGTGGGCTTTGCTCTGTGTCATGCAGCAAACCCAAGGAAACGGAGCCATTTGGTAGCTGAAGCAGCAAGACGCATCTTGGCTCACAGCTTGGTGCAAGCCCATCAAAGTCAGTCAGCATCTCCTTTATTTCTTCAGGTCTGTGCTCAGGGCTGTTGTTCCCCCTCCTGCTGTGGGTTCAGACCACTGACTGGAAAGATGATATGATCCTTGGCTTATTTTCTGACCTTGATTTTTTTGGCTGCGGCTCTGGGGTGGCTGGAATTAAGGCCCTAAAATGGGAGAGGCAACGAGCAAGTGTTGTTGACTTGGCACCTGCATCGTCAGAAATGGCTCAGCCTGTAGGTAGCCCTTAGAATATTTGGCAAGAGCATTTGATGGCTTTGAAGAGCCAGGAAAAGCTAGCAAAGGAACATGGCAAGACTGTTTATACAAATAATGCTTGTGACAGGCACATAATAATCGAGTTCCTCTTGCATTCCTGTCAACAAGCATGGGGACAAAGAGAAGGAAGAGCCAGGGTGTGGGATACTCCTGAGGTGCCCCAATTCCATGTTCTACAAAATACTTCAGTTTAAGCCCAGCAGAACCAGTAGGATCAAACCAAATCCTATCAAGATCAGTTAAAAGCTAACATATTTTCAATGTCTCAATCATCATTTATATTGCCAATAATCTCTGCAGCCGTTAGTGTCACAGGGAGAAGTTTTAACTGCTATTATTAGTGCTGAAACAAAGCAGTGTTTACAAGATGAGCCTATTCCGAGCCTGGAAAAATGAGTTGCCAAGAAGAAAAACAGATGCTGCCCTTAATACACTTTCTGTTCCAGGAGTCACAGCAAAGCAGTTGTGTTACTAATGAACCCGACTCCTCTTCTTTCTCACACCCCTGGCTTTTCACATTAGACCTGAGAAGGAAAAACAATTTAAGCCGCAAAATGGAAGTGGTCACGAGAGGTGGAGGGAAGGGCCAGCTCAGCACAGTGGTTTGCCTCCAGAACAATGAGGCTGGGGCTGAGGGAGGAAGGTTTCTCTGCCAGAAATAGCAGTCAGGAGGAGGTGTGTTATCACAGCTGCTCAGGGGTGAGGTTGTAAATGGTGTGGACTTGAGGATCTGATAGCTGGAGGCTGTCAGAGACCCATGTAACAGGAGGTGCATAGGTGGGCTTATCTCCTCCTTGTTGGGAGTGGCTGCATGACACCAGTTTCAGGATCAAGATCTGGTAACCTTAAGGAGAAAACCTTAGCATGTTAAAAAATAGAAAACATTGTAACTTGTGAACCTGTCAAACTTGGGAACCTGTCAAGCTTGGGAAAACAAGCTCATAAGCTCCAAAGTGATGTAGCAACATGTTTCATTAGAAGTCAGTGATGCTTTCCATCATGATCAGTTCCTGTCAGAATGAAATAATCCGGTTTTTGTATCTCGAAAGGAAGAGCTAGGGAGAATGAATTACTCCCAAAGAGAGCCTGTGTGGCAGTGGGGATTGTGGATCTGGATTGGAAAGAAAGGAAACTCAATTTTGGTTTCAAAGGGCACCTAGAAAACTTCATCAGGTTATAAAAAGTAAACCTCACATTCTTTGCAAAGGCAAAAGGCAATGTTTATTTTCATGCCATTCTCTTGAAGGAGTGAAAGAAAGCCAGTGCTAAACTGCAGTTGTGATTTGAAAGGATTGCAATTAAAGACTATAAATAAGCACAAAGCCAGCAAGGAGAAAAGTGCCCTGAAGTTGTGAATGAAAAGCTGCCGGAGGGACCTGCAAGGGAGGAGAGCGACAGGGCAGGCAGTGAGAGTCTAAACTTGGATCAGCCTTGCTGGGAACCCAGGAAGGTCTGAGACTTAAGGGAAAGACTTCAGCAGCGTGAATAGAAGTGAGAAAAATAAGAGAGGAAAAGTAAGGGAGAGCCAAGGAAGCCTCCATCAGCAGCTGGAGGACATTTCTTCCCTATGTCAGTGTAGCAAGAGGGAAACAATTTAGAGAGGGATAGGACCACATGTAAGAGTGTGCAGTAGGGAGCAAAACAGCTTTTCTATTTGAAGTTGCATCTTCTTCCTTGCATATCAGAGTAATTTAGATTTATTCCTATATATTTCTGCTGTGTTGGGGGGGGTTAAGCATGTTACTTATGTTGGCTGTAAGAGCTAAGGTAAAGTCAGTACTTACAGTTCTTAATTTGGTATCCACCATAACTATCAGGTGTGACATTTGTTGTCTGAATCACTTCATGACCTGTAGAGAGTGTGGTGTAGAGGCTCTTACAATGCACTCCTACAGGAGGGGATACTGACACAAGAGACCTGCTATGGTATGGTCTGTATCCCACCCTGTCAGTTCTGTTTGTCTTTGGAGGGATTTAAGCCCATTTCAGCTTCTTTTTATAAGAATGGTGGTAAAGAGGCTCTTTTTTTAACCCTCAGCCTGTCAACCAGAGCAGTGTCCAACACACAAGAACATGTATTTTTCTGGGACATTTATTTCACATCCTCCAGGAACTGGAATGAGTTTTGCATGGGGCATTTATCCATATGATTTATTTCTTTTTCAGTTCAGCGGAATAAGCTACCTTTAAAAATACAGTTTCTATCAGTCTTTATTTCCTCGCAGCACGAGCAAATCAGGACTCACAGATGAGGAGGGAAGCTGCGATTGGAAAAGATCAAGTTCAGGCTTTAATTAGGCCCTTTTTACTAACAATATCATGGTCAGAGCTGTTTTGCCTTGTGTAAGTAAACATCGAAACTAAGTCTTATTTAATGGCGTTTTCTCTTTGTAGGAATGGTCTGATGAAGTGTTCAGTTTGGCAACAAATCTGTTGGCACAGAACATGTCAAGGGATGCGTTTCTGGAAAAAGCGTAAGTCGCAATGGATTGAATGCTGTGGGTGTTGCTCTTTGCGTCATTTTCCTCTTTGCTTCTCAGTCGCATTGTCATCTATTGTTTCTGCTTTGATGGGGTGTCACTTTGGTAAACACAGGCTCGTCCTGTCTCACGGTTTTAAGAAGCCTGTTATTGAAACATCACTTAAACAAAACCCCTGTTTGGGTTCTTCTTGCAAGCTACTAAGTCATAGCAAACGGAAACAGGAGTAAATGCCACGTTCCCCATCTATACCAAAGGAATAACTTGTATTCTGAAGCTCTCCATTTAAAGTAATAGTCTGGACTGACTTGCTTCAGGTTTATTTTCCCTTCTGTTCTGTTATTGATCAAAAAATGAGAAGTACAAGTCCATTTTCCTCTCTGTATTTCATGTGATTCAGAGAGAATCTAAAGTCATTCATCTGGATGCCTTTGCCCAGGGCACAGATTCCGAGTAGAAAAGCTGTTTATGAGAATGTTTGGGGTATAAAAACCCACCTCTGAAAGGAAAGAGAACTAAACCTGAGATTAGCAATTCTCAAGTGTATGATAAGCACATGCTGATGGAGTTTTACATAAGTGATAGCACTGAGAACGATATGGCAAAGTCTAGAAGATAGTGATGGGGATGAGCTGGGGTACTTGCTTGCCTTACTGGGAGGAAGGAGGTGAGGGAGTGTGTTTATTCCTCAGTGTTTGAGGTACAGCTGAAGTCAACAGAATTTCTTGTAGAATCTTTGAAGGTTGGACGTTGCAGGAACTACAGCTTTGAATCTGGTACGGTGTGTTGGGACAGCAGTGATGTATTAGGCAAACCAACTCCCAAATGGATGGGAAGATTTAACAGTTCCTATTGGCTCCCCATGTTGACAGTGGAGAAAGCACTGTGTTAACCAGGTGCCAGAGGAAGAACAGACACAACTTCCTGTTACTACTATTTCCATGTCCTTAAACACCTGGCTAGCCATCAGACTACGCTGCAGATCTGTAATGGGTAGGATTATGGCTATACCTAATGGCGTTTTCATACCAGGTTCAAAGGAGGAACATGTTATCACACAATGTAGTAAATCCACTTCTATTTGGAGCCATTTTCTGGTGGTTGTTCAAGTAATAATAGTTCAAGATGTAGTCACTGGACACATCACACAGATTCAGTAGGAGGCGAGTGTGGCATTCCTGTGTCGCTTTTCCCTTCTTCCACTAATTAATGAATCCCTTGGGAACTGTAGGGTTTCCAGGGGCCACTGCACAGGTGCCAAATCAGAGTCATTTAAGGAATCTTTGATTTAGAAGATTAAAAGTATTTCCCCACTATAATTATTGTACTAAGCAAAGGGTTGGGTGCAGTCCTATCAGAACCCTTTTGTTGAAATAGAAAAGCAAATTACATCAGAGCAGGATGAAGGCTTTTTTCTTTGTGGCATTACACAGTCACAGTGTTGGAAGTGCAGTAATAAACAGCTTGAGCAGCTTTCCTGTGGTTTGGTCAGATGAGAAAAATAGGGTTAATTTGGAGGAAAGGCTGGTAATAAAAACTGCTATTTTTGTTGTAATGGGCTCGTTCCTCTTTTGTAGCCATGCAGTGTAGGGTTGTGTTGGGGTGCAAAAGTGGATGCTAGAGTACATTAGTACTGCAATACTGACCGGTGCAGTAATGAGCAAAGGGTGACTGGGGTCAGCATTTGTCACTCTTTGAGTCAGCACTGCACTGCTGAAATGAGTCCATTCAGCTGCTACTGATGGGAGTATCTCCTAGCAAGCTTTTTAACAGGGATAACATGCTTGGTTTTCATAGATGGGTGGATAAAGCTTCAGGGGGGGAAATAGTGTCCCAGAGAATTTGGGAGGAAAAAAAGGTAGCAAGTACTGGTGGGGGTTGACTGTTTTTCAGATACATTTTGACTTTGCTTTAACTGAAGATCAAAATTCTTCCTCCTTCCAACCCCTCCCATAATTTTCCTTTATTTCTGGCTTTCTTGGCTGTAGGGGAAAACACTAAATGTGACCAGAATGTGCCCAAAAGCTTAAAAAAACTAGAAGGGAAAATAAATCAAACCTTTTTTGCTAACCGCTGTGATTTTTCCTTTTTATTCTAGATCAGTGCTGGGAGATGGGGCAGGGGTGGGAATGATTTTGTCTGGGGACACAGCAGCACAAGAGATTTCAGTTTCCAGATGCATTTGAGAAGACCAGGATCTGTGACAATGTTCCTCTCCTAGTCAGAGATCTTAGCACATGCAGTGTTTTTGAAGCAGTTGCTAATGGCATTTTTGGTTGGGAAGAAAAGGAAAGTTTATTAGAACCATGCAGTTCCTTTTGCTTTTGGTTGGCCAGTCAGTAGAGTGAAAAAGCTTGTAAAATCCTCTTAAATACTTAAGTGTTGCCACATTTTTAACCAGATTATATTTCTGCAGAACTCATTTCAAGGGGAAATGTTTTAGTTATATTCAAGGGGAAGATAGGAAGCACTGAACGTGGTGCTTTTTCCAGGCTACTGCTGGTAGACATTGGACTGTTAACCAGTAGTCCTCACGTACTGGGGGGGGGTATCACATCACAGCTGTACCCCCAACTGCTTCTCATTAAACTTACTGGATGACTCCTGTTTCAGTAGGCTTTGAATCAGTATTTTGAAAGGTTTGGATAGAGACATCCTCATCCTGCTGCCTTAATGAGGATGTGAAAGAAGTCACAGGTCCTGAGATATTGAGATCTCTAAATACTCAGTTCAAAAGCTGAGTAATTGCCTGCCTGTAGATGGTTTCAGCATGTAATTTTTATACTGCTTCATACTGGAAATGTCTTGGACTTGCCCAGGGCTGCTAAATTTACTGACACTCTTGCTAGTGCAGAGATATTTCAGTTGCCAGCAATTTGGCTACCTTCCAGCCGAGGAGTGATAAAACTTAGGGTCAAATGGAGAAGCCTTCACAGTTATGTTTTGAGGAAGACTTTGGGAGGCAAGGATGTTGGTGTGCAACACCAAGGGACAATTTCAGGCTCTGGAAGAGGAGTACAGCCACATTTCCAGTCAACTTGTATAACCTGTGTGCCACAGTCTAGTTTGCTGATAGACTGCTAGGCAGCCTGGGGGAGAAGGAGCCTGGGGGGAGGATATATTTGTGCATTAATTGCATTTGCCATGTTTTGTTGCAAGACAGACAGTATTTGATACTACGCATGCATTACTGTTGAAGAAAAAGGAATTTATGATATTCCAACAGGTTTTCTTGCTGGCAAAAAACCTGAGTCAGACTTGCCATGTGGTCAGAGCACTAGCACTGAGCTATAAAGGTGGTAGAGAAGTACTTGAAAATGCTGTCAAATAAACCAGAATGCTTTTCTCTCCACAGTTACACAAAACTTAAGCTGCAGGTGACTCCAGAAGGGCGCATACCTCTGAAGAAGTAAGTTCTGTTCCCCCTCCTTACCATGTAGTCTCTTCTGAGTGTGAATATTTGTTTGGGATTAATATATAACCCTTGTGTCCAGAATAATAATTGTATCATGTGTTTATAAAAGATACTGTAGGAGAATATCTTGTGAGTATCAGGGTATGTCTGTTCAAATACCCTTTGGGCTAGATTGCCCTTGTGATCTAGAGCAAGACTTAGCTTCTCCGCCTTTCTTTGTTCCACTTGGGTATAAGAAAAACCTCCCTGGGCAACCCATTCCAGTGCCTCACCACCCTCACAGGAAAGAATTTCCTCCTTATATCCAATCTAAACTTCCCTGTTTAAGTTTGAACCCGTTACCCCTTGTCCTGTCACTACAGTCCCTAATGAAGAGTCCCTCTCCAGCATCCCTATAGCCCCCCTTCAGATACTGGAAGGCTGCTATGTGGTCTCCACGCAGCCTTCTCTTCTCCAGGCTGAACAGCCCCAACTTCCTCAGCCTGTCTTCATACAGGAGGTGCTCCAGTCCCCTGATCATCCTCGTGGCCTCCTCTGGACTTGTTCCATGTCCTTTTTATGTTGAGGACACCAGAACTGCACACAATACTCCAGGTGAGGTCTCACAAGAGCAGAGCAGAGGGGCAGGATCACCTCCTTCGACCTGCTGGTCACGCTCCTTTTGATGCAGCCCAGGATACGGTTGCTTTCTGGGCTGCGAGCGCACACTGAAGCCGGCCCATGTTCATTTTCTCATCGACCAACACCCCCAAGTCCTTCTCCGCAGGGCTGCTCTGAATCTCTTCTCTGCCCAACCTGTAGCTGTGCCTGGGATTGCTCTGATCCAGGTGTAGGACCTTGCACTTGGCATGGTTAAACTTTCTTTACTTTAGAGACATGTTGTGAGGATAAATGTATTCAAACTGCATATTGGTGGGGGAATATGAAGAAGTCAGTGGTGACTTTCTCAAATAGCTAGCTGCTCTAATAGCAGCTTGTGTTGGGTAGACTTAAACTCGTTGTGGGCACCATTAAACTCGCTTGTGTTACTGAGCAGCCAGCAAATGGAAATAAACAGCTAAAGACCTGATAGACTGGGAACTAATATTCAGTCACTGAGCCCCATGGGCCATCAAGGCATGTCTTGAAGCTAATTCCCTTTGTTTTGCCTTCATTTTGCAGCATATACCGCTTGTTTTCCGCTGACAGAAAACGGGTCGAGACCGCATTAGAAGCTTGTAATCTTCCGTCTTCCAGGGTAAGCATCTGAATTTATTCCTGGACCTTACAACATGTTGCTTACATTCAGTGGTGTTTACTCTCTATTGAGTTGAGGACAGTTTGTCTGAGGCCAGTTGTGCTGTGCTGGCCTTGGTAGCTGGTTTCTTTCCCATGCAGAAGTTCCTGATAACCCGTCTGCAAATGTGAGTACCTTTGATTTGAAACCGTGTGAGGACCAGAAGTGCCTGGAAGAAGTGGGACTAGATCAAATGCAGGGGCAGGGGGTTGTGTGGAGAGTCCTGTGGGAATATTTAAGAACCTGAGACAGTTGCACATTTTCAAGGCATGTTTTCAGTGTTAGCTCGAGGTGTAGCTAATGGGGCAATCTGTTTCCTTCTCACTAAAAAATCTATAGCTTAAGGGACAATTTAAACTCACCGTAGCTTATCTAAAAGGTGTATGGAGTAAATGTTGAAATGCTCTGGCGTCAAAGCTGTTACTGCTGTGAATTTGGAACCATTGCATGCTGCTAATCCAGGGTATCTCCTCAACCCTGAGCATTGGCAGGATGGTACATCATCCTCAGGAAGGCTTTTTTCAAGAGGAATGAGCTCGAGAAGGTGATTCTGATTAACACTGGAGAGAAGATGTCCTTAAGCTTTCCTCCCAGGTAGAGGTTCTCCTCCAAAAAGCTGCTTATGGGATTATTCCTGTATTTGGAGGGCCAAGAAGTGGGGCAGAGCTGGTGTGTGACAGAGGAGAGCCTGCATCTCCTGATCCTTTGCTCTTGTAGAAAACTGTTCTGTGATGTGTGTTCAGCGTTTGCTTCCCCAGTGGTTTAACAGAGCCAATTCCTACAGCTCCAGAAGAGCAGTGAAAAGAAATCTTCACAAGCCAAACCTCAGATACCACTTACCAATGAGACCTTCTTCCATAGGTTTGGGAGCTTAATTCCATAAAATTCCAAGGAATATCTGTAAAGTAGGTATAAAATATTATAATAACCTTATCTAAAGCAAGGTCTTGAGGTTAGAAACTTGGAAAGAATAATTTTAGAGATGAATTTTCATTGTTAGCAAACAAGACGATGTGCAAAACACCCCTGAAGTGCTGCTGTTGAAATCAGTTGATTTCTCACTTCTGTTTACCACCCGTCTCTGGGAAAAAGCATAATCTAAACATCACTGGAGTCCTTGAAAGAAACTGCACCTTTTTCTGCTGTTTATTTAAGTAGAGCCAGTTTTACATACATACTGCTGGATACTTGTTGCTGGGATACCATCTTCAAAATTATTCATAGTATAAAGCAGATCCTTTCTGTGCTTGGGACAGAAAAGAAACACACTTCTTGCAACAAGCAAAAAGCTGTTTTGAGCAGCTTTGAGAAAAAAATGTTTCAGAAGCCAAGTGCTTAAGAAGCATTAAACTCTAAATCTCACAGAGGTTATAGGACAGAAGATAACCAGTACTTCAGCTGCAGCTCTTTTCCATTGTGTTGCTGCTTATTTGAACAAGTAAAATTCTTAGCTTCAACTTCCAGCTTTTCTGCATCGTTGTACTGCAGGACAAATGGTGTTCCTGTACAGCCTTGGAAGAGCACTGGATTCCAGCACTGTGCAAGACCTGAATATGTATCAGGGGATCTTCCTCAGCAAAATCACCAAGTTACTTCAAGACTTCATGAAAGTCAGTCATGGACATTAACAGCTTAAGCTTCTTGGTTTCTTGTATTCATGCCTCATGAGTTTAGATTGGATGTAAGGAAGAAGTTCTTTACTGTAAGGGTGGTGAGGCACTGGAATGGGTTGCCCAGGGAGGTTGTGAATGCTCCATCCCTGGCAGTGCTCAAGGCCAGGTTGGACAGAGCCTTGGGTGACATGGTTTAGTGTGAGGTGTCCCTGCCCGTGGCAGGGGGGTTGGAACTGGATGATCTTAAGGTCCTTTCCAACTCTAACTATTCTATGATACTACGAAGATCCCTCTAAGGATTTTCTCCCCACGTTTCCATACCTCTCATTGCTTTAGGAAGACAGCACTCGTGGGCCATGAATTTGCCATGGTGTTTTCCTGCACCTCTCAGAACCTGGGAATGACCCTAAAACACAAAATGAAATTTGTGGTCATAAGTGGATCCCAAGGCAGCGTTTATCACTCTCTTCCTGACTCATAGCTTCAAGGCTGGGACAGTCCCTCATCTATCTTATGCAGTGATCTGAGGACGGGGCAGCCTAAGCTATGCTGCCAGGATATGTAGTCACTGCATCCTCTGTCCTGCACTTCAGCATGTTCCTTGAGTGTATGCTCATCAGGAAACCTCATAGGACAACATGTAGGAGCTTCATTTAGTGTGAGAGAAGGAAAAGGTCTCATTGACTTCATCCTGCTGTAGAATAGGAGCATCAGAGAGGCTCCCCAAAAATGCCAAAAATGAATTCTTTATTTCATATTTAGGGCCCTTAAAGGATATATTCACTGCAGCACTGAGTGCTCCGGCCCTGATTCAGCTGAGGAGGACTGCAGTGGGATGATGACCCATGGACATCAAGCACCTTTTCAAAGCATGGATTTATTTACTTATGTATTTCTGGGTTGGAGCTGGCGAGGGTAGAGTCCAGTCCCTGCTGGATCTGATTTTCAGCAGCCTTTGTCATCCAGCAGATCTGAAAGCAGAGGAATGTTTAAATAAATGTTTAAGTAAATGTTTAAATTAAGTTTTAAAATCTGCCAATGAGTTTTGGAGTTTGGCATCTGATTCCCCTGGGATTTCCTATAAATCTCGGCTACTCTGGGGGAAGGGGAGGTGCTTTTTGTTTGGTTTGGTTTTAGTCAAAGGTGCCTTAAACAGAATTTGAAGAGCTTTATTTTAGCTGCCTGTTTGGCTGTCAAGACTGTTTTCTGCCTTCCAGTTAATACAGGTTCACAGTGAAGCACCAGTGAGTTTGACTGTTAACATAAATAAAACAACCAGCTATCAAGTCCCATGTCTGCAGATAACCTGAATTAGCTGTTGTGCTGCCAAATTTATGTAGGAGACTGGATGCAGATGTTACAAAAGCAGGCAGGTTACCAGACAGATCATAAATCAGCAAACCTTGAAATTAGTAGCCTCAACCACAGAATAAACTCGAATGCCAGTATTCAGCAAAGCTGGAAATGAGGTTTGCTCTCGCGTGGTACTGAAGGTTTATGATTTAACCATGACAAGTGCAAGGTCCTACATCTGGGTCGCAGCACAGCTACAGGTTGGGCAGAGAAGAGATTCAGAGCAGCCCTGCAGAGAAGGACTTGGGGGTGTTGGTCGATGAGAAAATGAACATGGGCCGGCTTCAGTGTGCGCTTGCAGCCCAGAAAGCAACCGTATCCTGGGCTGCATCAAAAGGAGCGTGACCAGCAGGTCGAAGGAGGTGATCCTGCCCCTCTACTCTGCTCTTGTGAGACCTCACCTGGAGTATTGTGTGCAGTTCTGGTGTCCTCAACATAAAAAGGACATGGAACTGTTGGAACAAGTCCAGAGGAGGCCACGAGGATGATCAGGGGACTGGAGCACCTCCTGTATGAAGACAGGCTGAGAAAGTTGGGGCTGTTCAGCCTGGAGAAGAGAAGCTGCGTGGAGACCTCATAGCAGTTTCCAGTATCTGAAGGGGGCCTATAGGGATGCTGGGGATGGACTTTAGATGGCTGGAGCCTGGAGATGTACCCAGGTGGGCAGCAAATAGCCCAGATCAGTCTGAGCATGAGTGGAGTCGGGTTTGGTTTGTGCCTGCAAAGCAATGGTCAAGGTACAAAAATCTTCTTGGGCCTCTGAAGGTTTCATAGATGAGCAAAGAGATCAAGTGATCCCTGTGGCATTTGTTCATAGTTTAATTTAACCTAAAGCAGGAAAAACGTAGAAAAGTTTCTTTCCATCTAACAGAAGCTTGACTCAATGCTTCTGGTTCCCTTAGCAACAGCATTAAACAGGCAGAATAAGTGAAAGCAACGATTTCCCTATCAGCAGTTTGCTTTTGAGATGACCAGGTTCAGCGGTGTTTGAAAGCACATGGCTTTGTGTCCAAGTTACGATCTTTCCTCCTCCAGGTCATCAGATACGGGTATTATTTTGGAGCTGTAAAGGGGTGCCACATGGGCCCATGATGCTGCTAGAGACTACATGTCATAGCTTTTGATAAAGGTAGCTTGTGTGGAGGAAACTCAGAAACTAGATTTTCAGTATTTGCATTTCATGGGTTTTGGGGTTTCCTTTTTCTTGTTCCTTTATAAGGTTTCTCTGTACACAATACAAGCTTCTGTGTCATTTTGCTTTCAGAGAATCCTAGAATGGTTTGGGTTGGAAGAAACCTTAAAGCTCATCCAGTTCCAACCCCCTGCCATGGGCTGGGACACCTCCCACTAGAGCAGGTTGCTCCAAGCCCTGTCCAGCCTGGCCTTGAACACTGCCAGGGATGGGGCAGCCACAGCTTCATAGTGATTTTGCTCTCTGAAGCACACAAGCTTTGCTGGCCAAACTACCTTGCTGGGAGGGAGCTCAGAGCCTTCATCCGGATTGAAATACCTGTTTATGCTGTAGATAAGGGGGTTAGATGTGGAGATGTCCTTTCTTTCTTCCTCACAGGTGCTCAGAGAAAGAGATAACTTTGCCTTATGGAAACTCAGAGGATAGATGTATTTGTATGTGTTGTAAAGACTGCTCTTTAAGCTTCTCTGTTATCCAGGGGAATTTATTATTCTGCAAAATCTGGGCTCATCTAGGCTGCAGGAAGTAAATGAGAAGCAGCACAGCAGCAAGTGATCTGTTTACAAAGAACAAGTAGCTGTTTGTGTCCTTCTTTCACTACTTTTTTCCCCATTTCACAGAATGATTCGATCCCTCAAGACGACTTCACACCAGACGTGTACAGGGTGTTCTTGAACAACCTCTGCCCTCGGCCTGAGATCGACCACATCTTTTCGGAGTTGTAAGAAAAGACGCTCATTATTTATTTACCCCTTCACTGATTTTCTGGGCTGGGGATGGCAAAGTGGGTTCTGAAGACTACAGCAGGATGCAGTGATTGCCAAGAACCGATTTCAGTGTCAAGCAGGGCTGTTGTTTAACCTTGGATCAAGGGTTCATTCTCTCCCAGGCTTTTGTTTCCATTCTGAATGGCTGGAGTTTTAAAGTAGTGTGTTCCTAGAGGAGTAGAACTGCAGGGTCTTGTTTTTCTGTATGGATTAGGATTATGTAGGCTTCCATGACAGTAAAAAGAGTAATAAGCGATAGCAACATGCAAGAGGCATGAGAACATGTATAATCACCCCCCAAAAGCTCAATTAGGAGTTGCAAAAATTGCAGTAACTTTTAGGATTTGTACATCATGAATTCACACCGTGACATTAAGTTGGCAGCTACAACTGATTTCATACATTCGGTTACAAGCTGTGTAACTCGTGATCTTTTTGCCCCTTGCAGCAAGTCATCGTACGTCCCAGTTACAGCAGAGCCTGGTCAATGGAGTCAGAATGGAAAGCAATATAAAGGCAAAGTAATATCCAAAGTGCATCCCAAGGCCAACAAAGCAATTGGTGAACTTACCTGTGCAACACGAGTGTGCTCGTGTACTCCTTTTGCACTCATTTCCTCTAAGGTTGAGGTTTCACAAGGACACAGCCTTGGCCTAGTTTGCTCTCACTGAACCTGGAGGTAGACTTCGCATTGCTGTCTCGCAATAGAGCAGAAATAGGCCAGTCCCAAGTGCTGTAGACAACCCTAAGCATGTCACCTGGCTTGGAGGCTTCCTGGATCTCCATCTGGGTACCAATTATAGCCAAACGCTGCTCTTTTTACTCACTCTCTAAAGAGGCATCTTTTGTGTTGGCTTTACAGAGTGCCTGGCATTTTTTAACAGGTTGATAAAGAGAGGGGAAAAAACTCCAAGCAAATACTAGAATACTGAAATCAGGGCTGTCGTTATTCAGCAGCAAATCCAAATAGTTGGGCCAGGAATGCCAGCAGAGTGTTTGTGGCAAGCTGAGGATTGGATTCCATGTCATTTTCTCTTTTACTCTTTTAAATCACTTAGTTCTAGGACTTCAGAAGAATGAAAAGCTTTTAGCATTGCTCTGACTCTTCCCATTGATGTTGGTAATGCTGAATGCTTTTAAAAGTCTTACTCCTGGATGTTTGTTGAAGGATGTTTGTTGTTACATGCTGCCAGAGTAAATTAGTCCAGAGGCGCAGCAGGACAGTGTTTTTGTTGTAAGAGTAGTTTGAATCTTGGCTGTTTCCCTGGGAAGTTACATTGAACAAGATTTCAAGGGAATGTATTTAAATGGCTTTGCTGTTGCTTTAATTTTTCTCTAGTGGTGCCAAGAGCAAACCATACCTTACTGTTGATCAAATGATGGAGTTTATCAATCTTAAGCAACGTGATCCACGATTAAATGAAATCCTCTATCCACCATTAAAACAAGAACAAGTTCAACAGCTGATTGAGAAGTACGAACCCAACAGTAATCTGGCAAAGAAAGGTCAGTGGTTTTTATATTCTCCCTGTACTCAGTTTCTGATTTGAAACAATGACTCAATTATCCTGCAGCACATGCTAAAGCACAGTTTGGTTCAGAATCAAATTGCATTTCCAGCTATCTGCTTTTGGATTGTACAAGCCTGTGAGACATCGTGTTGTGAGTTTTTAAATGTGTTTGGTTGGGATCAGTTTAGGAAGGATGGGGCTGGTTTCAGTATCTGCATTTTGGTAAGTGTAATTGATAAGCTTAGGACAGTTGCTCTGGTGTGCACACTTCAGCAGAAACCTTACTATGACTGACTATTTACCTGCATCTGAAATCATAGAATCATAGAATGGTCTGTGTTGGAAAGAGCCTTTAGATCAATCACCCAGTTCCAAACCCCTGCCATGGCCAGGGACACCTCACACTAGACCATGTTGCCTAAGGCTCTGTCCAACCTGGCCTTGAACACTGCCAGGGATGGAGCATTCACCACTTCTTTGGGCAGCCTGTTCCAGTGCCTCACCACCCTCACAGTAAAGAACTTCTTCCTTATATCTAACCTGAACTTCCCCTGTTCAAGTTTGAACCCATCACCCCTTGTCCTACCACAACAGTCCCTGATGAAGAGGCCCTCTCCAGCATTCAAATGTAAATTAAAAATCAGTGACAGTGAAGCTAAGAAGAAGATAATTCTGATATTTAATAGCAGGAATAAGTGCAGCCCTCCACTTTCTGATAAAGTGGTACAAAGCAAGATGTGAGAGCAGCCGAGTGTATTTGGTGCTATAATCACAGAAAAATCCCTTTTGAAATCTCAAGAGTTGTCAGGGCTTAACTGGGCATTTCGCCAGAGCCAGCGAGAGATCTCGTGCTCAGATCTCTGCAGACTCTTGCTGCCACCACAAGTCTTAAAATAGCTTTGAATTTGTGTCTGCATCCTGGTTTATTCCAATCCACGTATCCTAATGATTACCCCAGCTTTTAATGCGCTCATACCTTAGAAGTTTCAGGGGCATAGGACTATCCTGAAAAACATCTAATATGAAAAAACTGGTTTGGTCCAGAGATTTTTTCATCCAGAGGGAACACAAAGATACCTCATCCAAAAGTCATAGAGGTTAACAGAAGTCACTCCTGCCCCTCTCCCTGAAAGCCTTCTAACCTAGATGTCTTCCCAAAGGAAACCTGTTGCTCTCAATGCTGCAATCAGCGTTGTCTTAAGGCAAAACACCTGTAATCTCTGTCTCTTCTAGTCCAATCAAATTTAGCATGCCCAGAGGTTTTGATGGAGGGGTTAAATCCTGCTCCTTTGTCATGCTTACGCAAACTGCCTTTTGACGTCAGTGAGAATACTAGCGTGAGTAGATGGAAACACATTGTGACCTCCTCTCATCCGTGCAAATATTAGAATCCTTCTCTCTGCTTACCTTCTTTTACATCAGCGACAGGAAAATCTGATATAAAAGAGCATTCTTATTACCCAAATATTGGCACTTCATATAAACCAAATAAAGGATTTATTAGAAGGAGGCGTGCTGGTGTGCTAGCAGAACACCATAGTCAGAATGGAATCACGTTCTGACTAGCAGTAAGGAGGAAGCATGAAACAAACTACAGAAAAAAGGTGTTATGATGGTATTTGTTGTTACCTTCCAAGTAGGATTTGTGGGACGCCTCCAGCTTACCCTAGTTTATGTCGGTGCACACATTTGCTGCAACACTTGCTTTTCCATCAGTGCTCTTTTCCCGGGTAGGACTTCCATTGCTCTTGCAGAATGAGCCCTCACAGGCAATGCTGACTTTAACAAGGGAAATGCAGGTCACAGAGAGTTAATTCCTTTCCTGGGTTTGTTTGTATTTTCTTCTTTTTAAGCTTGTGCACTGAGGTACAGCAAACTCTTGACAGAGTTGGCACAACCTGCGGCCCACCTCCGTGCTGCAGACACCACCTCTTGTCTAGCATCCTGTCTGGCAGCTGAGCTCCCCGTTCCAGTGCAAATCCCAAGCTTACCACCTTAAAATTACAGGAACAGGCTAATCAGGAATGACACAGGGACACAGTATTTTCTGTACATCCGCTTTGAGCCGGGAATGCAATTCACTGTATACTAAAAGAAGTGTAGGTGTGCGCCCAATCCTGCACTCGTGGAATGATTGCAAAAATATGCTGCATGTCTAAAATGTCACCAAAATATAACAGCGCACATTCAGGATAGTGATTTAACCTTTTAATATGGTGGCTTGTAAAAGGGATTGTCACTCAGGCTTTCTGCTGTCAGAAAGGACAATACCCAAGGTTGTTGAAATGAAATGCCTGGGCGGTTCTGGCCAGAGCACTGGTGCCTGGGTAACTTCTGGTAGTTCAGTGCATGTGCTTCTTAGCAAGTAAAATTTTATGTATTGAAATGTTCTTTTGAATAAAATTATGGGTTTTTTTCCTTAAAAACTTAAAATCCAAATTCAGAAAAGAGGAGCTATCTGCCTTTGTACAGCAGCCTGACTCCTCACTCCCACTACCCAGTTAGGACAGTTCTAGAGCTTCACTCATTTAATTTCCCATCTAATCTGACTGTATTCATTATCTGCATGATAATATTCTCTTTTAATTATTCTCTCACAGCTAATTAAATGGGTTTCTAAAGATTGCTTTTACTGGCTCTCAACTTTCACAGCACACAGCTTTTGACAGCTCATAATTCTCCATTTCTCTGTTCACCATTATAGCCCTTTTTTTGTACCCATTGCAGCTCAACTGCAGTATTTTGAACACAGTAAGCAAAAAGCGTCTATAACATTATAAATTTTAACAACATGGCTCTTCAAGTACCTGATAAAATCAAATGCCAATGTTCTTACTGGTTACGGGCCTTAGGTTGCAGCCTTTTGAGTAAAGAGCTGTGTGTGTTCCTGCGCGTCATTAATGTATCCTTAGCTATTGTATTGCTGGGATGTGATGAAGTTTTTGCAACATCAGCAGGTACATGGGCTTGACATCTGCATAGGTTAAGCATCTGGAGTAGTATTTTTATAGTGATTAAAGCAAGTTGTTGTGATTAATGTTTTGTGTCATACAGTGAAGGAGATGAATGTGCTGTGTATAGCGTGTTCCTTATCAGGTGGAAGCAGAACAAGTTCCTGGTACTGCTCAGCAGCCTCTTGCTGTCAGCAAAAGCATACTGGGGGGCTGTTGGGCCTTGTTAAGCAGCACTTGTAGTTTGGTATTTTCAGGTTGTAAAGCCATTGGGTGGCTGGCACAACTGCTGAATGCATTCCCTTTCAAGTTGCCATGTTGATAATGGGATGCATATCATAAATCAGTTGCCAAGGGGTTGAGTGGGAATTGCCTTATTTGCTTTTGTTTTTTAAGAAGGCTTGTATGAAAGTGAGTTGTTCAGGTTCTTGTTAGATTAGGGGTGGGAGAAGGGACACTCATGCTGAGTTTCAGGGGTGTCTTCTTGCTCCTGGCAGCGACAGTCCTGGTTTTGAGAATGATGTGAAATCTACCATATAAATCAGGTGAAAATCCTGCAGAAATGTGCTGCTTCTTCCTGACTGAATGATGCAGTGCATTTCTTAAAGTTCCTAGGTTCAAAAGGACCCTGGAGCTTTGAGAGCTCAAATCCCATTGTCTCTATGTAAGCCTTTCCTTCTGAAAACAGTGTTTTGAATACCACTGAGTAACAGTCTGGCTCTAGGGGCATCCTGTGTCTTTTAAATACTCTAAGCAAGAAGAGCTATACCCATGTACCAGACTAACAATGAACACAAATCCATGCCTGCTGGGGAAAGGAGACGTGAAAAAGCTGGATTCATGCTATACCAATAAAATATGTGCTCCCCACCATATGCATTGGTAGGAGCAAGACAAGGGGTAGGTTATTATTAGCCATTACCTTTAAATTGGTTTTTATTGCCAGACATGGTCTTGACTGTAGCATAAGCTTTAAGAAACGGAGTCTGTCAGTGCTTTGGAGATTTTCTTGGCCAATGGATCTGGACATCAGATTGTACTTCCTAGAAGGGATCTTTGAGATAAGTAATGGCATAAAGAGTTTAATCTTCTTTTTCTCTTAAGTGTGTGTTCATTTAAACACTATCTCTGCCTATTTAATGTTAAAGGGCCAGATTTTTAGGGCTGCAAAGAAGAAAAAAGCTTTCCTTTTACATTTTACAGCATTTCTTTGTCCACATTTTCTCCACTGTACCTGTTTGGGAATACTGTGCCTCAGTTTTAGTTACACTTGTATTTAGAAGGATTGTAGGGGAGCTGGTTCCATGACTCTCTTTGAATTCCAGTATTAATTCTACTTTGCTAGTGTGCATTTATAAGTAGTTCTTGTGCTGGGTTTTTCCTAGGTAATAAAATAAATTAAGCAATTAACATTAGGTTAAGGTATATTTAATTTTATACAGCATTTACTACATGTGGTTTTCCCATGGCAGCTTTAATACTCAGCAGTATTCACTTCAGGACAAATGTGGTTTTTCTCCCTTAAACATCAATGTACTTTAAACATTTTAATCCCACCACATTAAATTCACCTTTCAGTAACTGCTTAAGAATAATTACACATTGAAGTCTTTCTGGATATCAGAAGTGAGTGACTTCCTAGGCAACAGATTCTGGTGGCAAAACCAAGCACCATGAACTGTGGCTATGCTTTTAAGCCGTACTTCATATATTTAAAGCATAAATTCTGATGCATAAACCAGGCAAGTGATGGCATTTTCTGGCACTGAAACATTTGTAGGTGGTGTTACAAAATAGTTGAAATCTTTCAAGCCTCCTAACTGCAGCTTTGGAATTCAAGAATACTTAGCAAAAAGCCCATTAACTTTGGGATTTTCAGTGCTTTCCAGCATTCCAGTTGTACAAGAGAAGAGCTCTCAGCATTGTTTCTCCTTATCAAGTGACAACAGAACAACAGATCCACTCCGAGTTTATTACTCTTTAAAATCTATAAGCCACACACATATTCCATGTGGTCAGCAACAAGTGCAGAGTTCAGTATCTT